GGCGCTGATTGGCCTGATTTACTCAATAATTACTCCTTTATTATAAATAATAGAAAAAAATGGTTCAGGACTTTTCGACTCAGTTTTATTTCTTCTATCTGCCTACGAGAGATTGTACGGCAATTCTAGGACACCCTGTTTATAGATATGATATATGTATTGATATATATATATGGATATGATATATAGATATGATATATAGATTTTCGAAAAAGGAATGTTTCTTAAATGCAAAATATTGCTGTTACTCAACTACATTATGAAAATATATATGATATACAATATGTATATATATATATATATATATATAAAATATATATGATATGTATATATATATATTTAATATGCATACGTTAATATGCATTTGTATTTGTATGTATGTTTACTATTAGCATGAGATTATTTGAACATTGTCAAAAACATTCCTTTATTTATGTCGCATTTTTCACACACACACACACATTTTAGTCATTTTTCAAAAGTACTTTTTTATTCCTGATTGGCTTGTCCGACAACTAAATGTTTCTTAAAGTGATCGACAATAGCACTCGCCATCTCCATGCTGTCTTCACACGCTGGGAAACGACTTGTAAATTTATAAATGAAGGAGAAAGTTTTGTTCTCTTTTTCCACGATATTTTCCTCGATTGTTTTTAGTTCTTCCGGAAGGATGAACGTAACTGCCGTGAAAATGTCTTTCCTGTAAAAAATAAAAAAACAAAACAGCCAACGAGTATAAAATGTTGTCGTACGAGTCATATTACGAATATAATTCTTACGGATTTACACACACACAAACATACATACGTTACAATAAGATCCATGTAATAATTAAATTTGTGATATCTGTAATATGCTTGTAAACTGTTACATATATTATTCGTTGGGCAATGCATCAGAATATTACTAAAGAAGGCAGAGTACCCGTATTTTAATATTGAAACTTTATGAGGATTTCTTGAGCCATTCAATAATTTGTCGAGCATGTAAGCTAGTAAGCTGACAGGTGAATTCATCAGACTAAGTACTGAAAACAACATATCACATTTAAAACAATACTAGATTCTTAATTATTATTTTTTTGAGGAGAGGGGGGAGTTTGAAACTTTCACGTATAAAGTTGCGTAATAACAGAAGTACGTCACATACAAAGTGTGTTTATGGATGTCGAAGGAGATATTTTATCGTATTTGTGTGTCAACTGTATAGAATCTTTTTCCAGTGCATTGCGGCGGTTGATTGTTTCTAATAGATACTCAGACAGACTAAGCCAATGTGTAACGTGGCACAGAACATAATGCACACCCAGTATACTAAACATAATTTAAGTTTTCATATTATACATATACATTACGAAGAAAAAATAATGTATAATATTAATATTATTTAAAGCACATATATATATAAACTTACTTCTCCGGATGATTCATCGCCATCGTGGCGGCGATAAGGGAGCTCCAGTCGTCGCAATGAATGTAAAACTGATTCCGGTTAAGCTTTTTCATAAGTTTAATTAAAATGTCGCCTATGCTTTCGCACGTTAAGTCATCATCTTGTTTCTTAGGAACGCCTGAGAAACCGAATCCAGGCAAGGAAGGCACTATCACTTCAAATACGAAATTACTTGCCTCTCTTTGAGCAGTCAGTAACGGTATGATGTTGTAAAATTCTATTACGCTGCTAGGCCATCCGTGCAACATCAACAATGGCACAACATATTTGTCCGTACAATCCGGTTTCACATAAATAAAATGAATATCTATTTCTAAAATTAAAGAAAAGACCGATTACAATAAAATCTAATTTGAGATTTTTAATTTCTTTTAACTATTCTAATTTTCTTATTTTACTTTGTGGATTGAAGTGCTTGCTATACTTTGTTTTTTTTTTTTGTTTTTTTTTCTTTAACAATATTTTCTTTTAATTTGTGAAAGCTTTTGCCTTTTGTTAATAATGACTGATATCCATTTCACTGTTGTACATTGTGTGTCGCGTGTTGTTGTTTTACATTTTTCCAGTAAAATAATAAAAGGTTTTGAACGATCAAGGTGAGAGAGAAGGCACAACAAGAGAGGAACGATATAAAACTTGTATATATTATCAAAATTAATTAATTACTATATATTATAAATTAATTATTATACATTATCAAATAACGACACATTATTAAAAATATGATTAAAACTGGCAGTTTTTGTTGGACTTGTCATATAAAAAAAATTTATAAAAATCTTTTTATTGAAAAGTGACTCTTTTTTTCAACAAATATCATCAGTAAAGGGTTTTGTAAAAGCAAACATGAATCTTTAAAATAATTTTAACGGCTTTATTACATTTTGGACATCATAACGATTTTATCAATATTTTATTACGTATGAACATGATTTATATTAAAATTAACGCGTGATGGATTTCCAACAATAATTTTGTTGTTCCTCAAGATGAATTGAGCTGAAAGTATGGAGCATTGAACTACGTGACATGCGTGATCACTGTTTATATTCTATTGTACACGTGCCGACTTTACCGTCTCTGTTATTGTGTAATCCCTCAGTTTATAACTTGTTGACTTATAAAATTTAGCAAATATTTTATCTTTATTTAATAGAAAAACCGAGTATATATATTTATGTACTGATATAATGGTAGAGACATACTGTTTATAATTATTTTTGTGTATTAAATGCGTTAATGAATATTTGATCAAAGTGATTTTGAAACGTCTATATTTGTTTACTCAAGATCTTTTTCACTGAGTGTAGTTGCGTGCATTACTGAGCGTGTTTTTACTTAAATGATTTTTTTTTAATAGTGAAAAAAAGGAACGATTAAAATTGATGTATTTTAATACTATATGTATTAATATTATATTATTATATTAACTACATATTTTAGCTACTGTGGTTTATATAGTTAGAGTCTGTAATAAATGCGCGCATTGCAAGAACAACTTTTACAATTTAAATTTCCAAATTTGTGTTAATTAAATTTTGAAATTAACTTTGAATTGTTCTACCTAGTAAAGAAATCTAGAAAGATTTTAACATACAATTTCTCACTACTTATTGTTATAGTTATCTTTCTCTCTCTCTTTCTCTCTCTCTCTCTCTCTCTCTCTCTCTCTCTCTCTTTTATAAGTTATTATTTAAACAAGTTACTTTTATAGCTTTATGATATTAATATAAATAATAATTTTTGTATTGTATCCTTACTATCAATTTTTGTCGTAAAATGTGGATAAGTGTTAATGTATCTTTCTTGTTTACGAAAACTCTTAAGATTTTCCAAATATTTCATAATTTCACATAATTGTTTGGTAATATTATATTGTGTGTCTTCAGGATTTTGGAGTATCAAGTTCTCATTTTGTTGAAAAAAATTCAATTTACTTCGTAATTCTTTTTGTAAATTCTTTATATCTTCACGTGTTTTCTGTAAATAATTTTTTCCAATTACTTGTTTAATTATCAGTCAGACTTTTTTTTTATTAAATTGTCTTTTCTAATTGATGAATATGTTGGTTATAATCTACTGGACTTACCTTTGCGGAAAAAGAAACTTTACACGGTTTGATACCATTGTTTGATGTGAAATCAATCCCAAGATATCTCGTGGCAAAACTACTCAAACGGTTTTCGTTTTCAGGTATTAATTGTAAGGTCATCATATTGTCAACAAATTTTGTTTTAGATTTTCACTTTACTTAATTAATAAACAAACTAAATATTTCGTCTAAGTTTAAATTAACTTGATTTTATATACAAATACTTTCTTGATGCTCTTTCTACAACAATTTTCTGAAAACGTCCGAATCGTAGCGTTGTTGTGCGTGCACTGCGAGCCAGGACTGTTTCGAATACTTGCCACGTAATGGTTAGGTTTACAAGCTTCTCAAGAGTGGGACGAGAGGTCTAAGATAACGATTCGTATTTTCGAGTATATAAAGGATGTTCATTTGTGAAACGTTTTCACCTCGATATCTTTTGTAGCATATGCTGTGTGTGAAAAAATATCGAATATAAAGCTTGAATAAAAAAAAAACAGTTTTAAAAGGGATGTATAATAGTGACATTAGAAACTGTCTAACTACCGAGTAAACTTCTGAAAAAAAATTCTTTTACTTTTGCAGAGTTTATGTTAAAATTCGACTATGTAATTCCATATAAATTTTTCTAACAATGACTGACTTATTTTATCTGTTCGGGTGATTATTACTTTGGATAAAACCACGAGCTAAAACCTTTTCAACATTACTTAGAGTCATGTTCTCTTGATGAAATACGAGAACGAAATTAATTGAATTTGTGTTCGTTAAATTTTATAGCAAGTAATTACTACGAGTGCGATATTTATTTTATTTCAGAAAATATAACGTTACCGCATGATTGTTACATTTTAAACGTATTGTATTTTTGTATTAATGTTGTTTGTATATAAAGTTAGCATTTCTTATGTTTCTTCACTCTGCACGAGATGTAACGTTACTAGATTTGTTATTCGTTATTGGAAATTGCACTCTCAGAGCCATTATCGTTACTGTTATTTAAATTGACGTCAATTCTCTCTCTGAGCAGCGCTGCGCTCGCCTCATGTTTTTCTTACGAATTTCCTACGTTCTGTACCGAAGCGTAGTTCCACGCTCGCGAAAGACTATTTGCCATGTAGGAATATTGTCGTGCTGCGTGATAGTTCACAAACAGAGGTTTGTTTTTTGACCGACACGACTTACAATACACACATACGGTATGTACACTCGGCAACAATGATTCGCGAAGGCCGTCGGGTGTACAATAACAACAGTGAAAACACACATATAACTTGCCTAACTTGTATTTATTTTTTTTTCCAAAAAATGCAGTGAAAGACGATAGGTTTGCGTATGTCAAAGGGAAAAGCTTGTTGTCGCGTGTCAGAAAAACTGATCTCGCGTTAATACGTTATTAAACAATTTAGTTAAATATCCGAAATTGTATCTACACAGAAGCGTGTCGTTCTCAAACAAAAAAGTAATTCAAATTCTCCAAAAAATACACATCGCAATTTTGAGATAACGATCGCTGTTCTCGCGCAACGCAAAAACGGAGCGTTGACGGATAAGCGAGAAAAGTCTCGCGAACGTTATTTGCTCGCGTCTCTGTCTTCCTTTCTCTCTCTTTTCTTTCTCTCTCTCCTTCTGCTCTGACATGCCAGCAAATAAGCGACGTCGGGAACAGTTTCCGTGATAGCACACCGTCGTACACAAGGTGGTTTATAACCGGCGCTTCTTCCGGCATAAAAACACGCACGATCGCCAATGGTTAACGCCAGAATGTCGCTGGTGAACGTTCCTGCACTTTATTCCTTGTTCGCGGGTTTTCTCTCTCTCTCTCTCTCTCTCTCTCTCTCTCTGTCTCTCTCACTTTCTCTTTGCTCGCGTTCCTCTCCCTTTCTCGGCATTGTCGTTTCTCTCGGATTTTATATGTCCGTCGTCCGCGCCGACACCCCCTTTGGTTCTTCCGCTTTTTACTGCCGAACAATACACAATTCTATCGTTTCGCGGAGATATGTAGCGGGTTGAACACAAGCGCGATTGTGAATCTCGCGACGCGTTGGGTGGCTTCTCGTTCGTGACCACGGGAGGGGGAGGTTCACCTCGAGTGCAAGCACGAGAGGTGTATCGAGTGATCGAGAGCGAATATATTTTGTGGTTGCACATTCAGGAAAGAGGGTCTCAATACGGAAACTTTATTAACATCGAGTCACTTGTTATCTCTTTCCCGCGAGAGAGAGAGAGAGAGAGCGAACACTCTTCGAACACTCTTCCTGCCTCGGTACACTATCATCGTTTTCTCTCGCGGGAATCGATAACGCAATAATCAATTTCGAAACTAACTGAAATACGCTTTCGGCACGTTTGGTGTGGTAAATGGAAAAGGATCCGATTAGATTTTCTTTAAAGTGTGTCATGTATTTGGCGATTGATAATTTTGGATTTGGAAAAAAAAAAAAATTGAAATCTCCTAATCTGTGAGAACGCGCGGGTCTAACGTAAATATCTTTGACGATAATATAAAGTTGTGGATTGCGGTCGGATTGCTCGAGGAGAATAGTTTTTTTTTTTCTGCGAGTGTGTGCGCGATATACGGATTAATTTTTATTTATATCCCGGAAACGTTGTGTCCCGGAACGACGGTGTGCGTTGTCGTTCTACCCTTCGCGTTTTAGCAAGCGAACCGCAGCCCCCCGTAAATATCGCACGGGCGCGCACGCATTTACGTACGTTCGCAAACTGCAGTTTGGCAAACGTCCACTTCTAAATTCGAATTTACGTGGCATCGCGGTAAAGCTGCGCCCCGAACATTATTTTAAATCACCGTCTATCGCCGGTATTGATCGCGCGCGTTTTCGCTCCGGCGAGAGATATATCGGAACACACGCGCGCGAACAACGTAACGAATTAAGTTTATTGCGTTACACGTTCGCGCGCGCACAACTTCGACATACGGAAAAATACATGTTTTGGCATTAGAGCTCGGAAACTGGGAAATTATTAAAGAGCTGAACAATGAGCATTTGCTCCCCCACAGCACAACGCGGGAGATCAATTGTAATCGACCATCGCGTAAATAGTTTACGTGTCAACAATTACACGCTCGGTACATTTTGTATCAGCGAGCAAACACGGTTTCTCTATAAATAAATGTTATTATATGTTACTTTTTGTTTACTTTGCGTTGTGTTGTCTCGAACGGCACAGATTTATGAATTTTTCACTAAGCGGTGCGACGAAACAAAATAGAGCAAGCAAAAGGACAGAGTTCAATTATGCAACTTTAAAAAGGAATAATGCACATATGCATATATTCTAATACACATATGTATTCTAATAATAATACACGATATATTAAATGTAAAATCAGATAGAGAGTGTGTATACATATTCAATGCGCGCGCGCGTATTAATCAATGCTGCAAACGAGCTTGTTCGACAACCGAACCGATTCGATTCTCTCGAGTATTTGTAACAAATATTATACGCTTCTCCGCAAATATACCAACAAGCGCGCGCGCGCGCGCACGCGGAGTTGTGTGCTTATACGATTCGTCGCTTTGTAAATGGTCCGCCTATTTACGGTGTCGTCGTGATTTGCTGCGCCGGAAATTCGTTTGCAATCTATTTTCGCGATCTCGCATGTCGCACATGCGCCGCAACACGCGATATATATATATATATATATATATATATAATGAGATATAAATTCGCATTTTTTTTGTAAAAAAAAGAAGGAAGAGAGAAAGAAGGCTTATCGCAATGGCTTATCGGTCGACCTTTTAGCGACAGTTTTCGAGAAAGTCGTTATCCGGGAGCAACTCTTATCTCCGGCCAACCCCTTTTACTCGCGTGGTAATAGCCGGCACGATGATCCGCGCGGCGCGAAATCTGCTCTGCGATTTGCCGCAAGTCCATTTTCCTTCTTCGTAAAACGTGCGTTTACACGGCACGGCTGCAGCATGATTTTTCTCGTGCGCGCGCGCGCGATAGAGGGAGAGGGAGAGAGAGAGAGAATCCCGGACCGAGGAAACAATACCCTGCACCGTCGTAAATATACCGACTGACGCGCATCCCCCGCCCGGTACGACCGGAATTACACCACCCGGCAAGTGGCGCGCTCGCTCGCATTCGAATGCGCGGCGCGCCCGTGTGTTCGAGGAATGCCACGATGCGGCGGAGAACGATAAGAGATCGTTTCCCACCGATATATTTTGCCCCGCAGACAATTAATCCCGGTTTATAGAATCCGACGAAGCGCGCGCGTGCGTTCGCGGAGGGAAGCGACTTTCACAGGATGTGAATACATATACATAAATTATATCTAAAAGAATAATTCAACAACTGCAGAAAAAGAGAGAGAAAAGAGAGAGAGAGAATGTGTGTGTGTGTGTGTGTCCGTGCCACAAGAGTGCAGCCCTTGAAAGGTTGAACAATCTCTGAATACTCCATATTCATGAAACCGAAGCACTTCGGTCCTTTTAGTCGTGAGACTTTCTTACTGTGTGACGGCGCGCACTTGTTTTTTTTTTTTATTTTTTTTTTATTTTTAAACATTTTTTTTTAGTTTAGAGACTACAAAGAAAATAACTACGCGTGAAAACGGGCCAAGTTTTAAATGCGCACACAACTTGGTGTGACAATGAGCTATTGTAACTTTTTGATGATTTCACGCGATGATTCAATTAATAATTTAATTCAAAAGTTTTGTTTCATATATTCATATAGTGAATTTGAGACGAGAGACGTACTTTCAACTTGAACGTCACGACTTGGTGATTTTCTGATTCGATCGAAGTCAATCTTCGCGGCAACAAATATCTCACCAACGTTTCTGCGAAGGCAAGATTTTTCTCGTAAACCCATTCCCCGTCGATAGCCGGCTATATGAGTTACGGCCGATAATTATTTGAAGTCTCGGAACAAAGGAGGGTCGTATCGCGGCGCGAGGATTAGAACGCGGTAACGAGTGGAAAGGGAGCATGTAAGCCGCGTAAATGATAACAGCGAACATCGCGCGGAGCAGCACGATAAGACTTAATTGTGGCCTTGTTGTTCTTCCCCTCGGCTGCATTCTCGTTTGGTTCTTTCTCATCCTGACGAATATCCCGGTCTTTCGATCTTCCGCTCCGCAACGATCTTGTACGTCTTCGAAGGATATTCGTTTTCCCCCGATGTTGCCCGGACGTTTCTTTCGCTCCCGCGTTCTCTCGCCGAAACTCAATAAAATACGGGAACGTTACTAGCCGCTAGTTTCTAGATAAAGTTAGGTCTCGTCCCGTGTTCAACCGCGAGATGTGC